ATATAATCAGGTTTGTTACCTCAATTTGTTGTTCTTTTTTAAATGGTTTGGTCAAATGTTTGCTTTCAATTTTATTCTTCAACACAACTGCAATGCACACAACTGAAACTATTTTTATGATACCTGATGTTCAAAGGGCGGGTGGTGTGAGGGTGGGTGGGTGGTGGGTTTACCATGTATATAAGCAATCTGTAACCTTTGTGGCTTTTGTGTGACAGGGGCAATAGGTGTTTTGAAGGTTGACAATTAGGTCATATACAAGTATATATTTAAGCCGCTTCAGACGGTTGCTGAGGCAACTCTGCCTTTGGAGCAAGAGACTAAAACAAACGACAGGGATTGTATATAAATATTCTATATGTTCGGCAGGATATCCCTTAACAAAGCAGGAAAAAAAACAAATATTGATTCTCAGTGGATCGGTCTGTTTTTTAAAACATTATTTATGCGTGTATATAAGGTGTAATGTGTTGATCAGCCACAAGAGGGGGCTGTAGAGGCAGGTAGGGAAGTTGAGGCGGCTCGGACTGTTTTAAAGTGGGCAACGGTTAGGAGGACTCTGTCGCTGATGGAGTGCACTTTACCTTAACTCCCAACCCAGACACCTTCACACACCTAAACTACACACACACTTACACTTAACATACACACCAAGGTATGGCTGTTATACCTGGGTAGAAGTACTTCATAAAGCAGAAGTAAAATATTTTTAAGCCCAGTTTTATTTTAATTTTTGTTTTTATTATTTTTAATTTATTACTGTGCATTATGACCTCTACTGCCTACTTTTGTGAACTACCTGAGTCATTTGAAAGTATTTTAACCAGAAAACACTTTAAACACTTGGCGCCTCTATTCTAAACTTTATTTAAGGATAATTATTTTAAAAAAATGGAAAACCTAATGAGCATTTTTCTTTTCTGCTTTGCAAATGGCTTGGTAGTATAATTTATTGAGGAACAATATAATATTATTGATAGTTTTCATTAGGGATGCACGATATTGGACTTTTGGCCAATATGCAGATATGTTAAAACTTATTTGGCCGATAACCGATACTGATATTTTATATACTTTCCTTTGTCAGAACATATTCCTCTTATTTAGGCTTATTTGCTATAAAAATGTCTAACAGCTGTAAGAGCTGGTGACAAATATTCAGTAACAGCCATATGATATGCATAGCGCTTTAACTTATATTAAATGAAAAGTGTTAAATGTTATTTATTAGCTTTAGTCACCTGCGATGCTGTCTCACTTATATCGGTGAGTTATTTTGATGGAATGTCCGATATTGAACTTTATCGCTAATATCATCCGATATCGATACCACGCCGATAATATCGTGCATCCCTTGTTTTTATGATGAAGAAAAAAAACGCATTAAGTTTTGACTTTTCTACCTTTAACGACTGCTTCTTCTGTTCTTAACAAACAGAAACTAAAGCTCAAAGATACGTTTTGTTGTTTTCCATCAGCTGATCGTTTCTTATCAGGCATTTTTTTTTTTTTTTGTCAAATCAGCGGTGTTGAATATTTGAAGGATTTTTTTTTTTAATCCCAGTTCTCTTGGAAACACACGTCAGTCACAGTTAAGCTCACACACTCGCGCACAAAGAGATAATTAGTAAACGATCAAGCAAGCCAAGGAAGTCCCCCCCTCCACCTTTACTTAGCTGTTACCCCCTCCTATTAAAAGCCATGTATGTATATTTAAAGGGCCTCCCCTTTGCCTGTCACTGGTTGGCTGTAGTTTTATATTATGGAGAGATTTAAATAAGACTATGAAAAAAGGATGATGTGAAGGATGTTTTTTTAACTCTATAAAAGTTTTAAGTGGTGATTTAGGGCTTAGTGGGTAGATTTTTCAAACCGTGGTGGTCAAAAGTGGAACTCGGTGTTTATTTTTCCTCAGCCTGCATCCATTTGTTTGGAAAGCACTGAGGCAGAGTTCGGGCATCGTTGGATGCTAAGCCGGAGGTTTCAGAGCGATTCTTGATCTTTTAATGACTACCTCCAAAATCCAGACTTGTCGACTTTGGGTACATCCAACCGCTGCATCCTTCTCACGGGCAGGCCCTCGTCACCTCCTCCTCGCCCCCGCGTCAATTACTTTGATTTTATATCCTTTTCCGAGGCTTAATATCAACGCACACACGCACTCTTCATCACACACTCCTCTTCCGTTTGTTCCGTGCAGATAGCGGGTCTCGGCGCCGAGATGAAGTTAATTTAGTCCGGGGTCGTTCTCCACGGTTAACACGAGCGCCCCCCACGGCTGCTCTCTCACTCTTTCTTCCGCTCGCAGCTTCATCACACACTACTTAGTTTATGAGTGATTTCTCATTTTCTCTATCCGAGCGCGTCGCTCACACTCATCCTCTCTGCGACGAGTCTCGAGTGGACATAAATCCACCGAGTTAAGACCGTTGCGTCCTGAGCGTTGAACAAAACAAACAGAATGCGTAGACCCCGGTAGATTCAGCAAGGAGTTGGTTTAGTCAGCGGACTGAGGAGAAGTGTAGAACAGCAGCGCGAGTCGCTGTAGCCACAAAACTAAAAGACAATCCTGCAAAGAGACGGTTCCAGTGACGTGGGTCCCCCTTCGCCCACACGAAGCGATTTAAAAACTGTATAATGATGTTTCGAAGACTCGCTCACTTTCTGGTGTTAATCTGTGCTGGTGACAGTCTGTTTTAATAGCTTTCTGAGACTTTATATAATTGTCATCACGATGATCACTACCACAGAGGTGGATCATGTCATGACGAGATCTGCTTTTCTTCGTGTCCGTTTTGTTTTATTTGGAGGTTGATTTGAGTTTATCATATGGAAATATCTTATAAATATATATATTTTTTGCTTTCTCTTCGCTGAGTTTGTTTTCTTGAAGGAAAAAAAAAAAAGGGTGTTACTAATGTTGCACGATTTTCTTTTTAAATTTTTTTTTTAATTCTTGTTTTGTTTTTTGTGATTACACAACAAGCTTTTGACGTTCTAGTCAGTGTGGATGGAGGCAACGGACCGCTTCAAATGTTCTCTTGGTCCACACGTGGTAACATGGAGGGGGGGGGGGGGGGCGGCGATGACACGCCTAACTTATTTCTGACTAGACACAATGATGTCAATGCATGACTGTTTTAAATGAGAGGAAGTGAATCATGTTATAGGAAAACCAATGTAATATTGACACACATCACACAGGATGACATTTAAATAAAAGATGATTGAAGTAAAAGTTTTTAAGTAAATTATAGCTAATATGTTGTGTTTGGCTAGTCAGCTTTTTTGTTGTAAAGATAATTTTCTTTTTGTTTTTTTGGAGAATGATATACAATGTGTGTATATTTTCATAAATAAAGTATGCACTGATATGTTATTACAAATTCTATACAGCTTTTACAAAAAAAGTGTTTGTTATTGTACCAAAGTATCCATTGGTCCCTGCTTACCCTCCTCCCGTTTTTGCGTATGTTTTACTGTATTTTATATATTAAATAGACAAGTTGACCTAAAATGTGTTGTCTTTTCTTCTGAGCTGCAGCACTTCTGAGATGTGTCCACTAGAGGGCAGTGTCGTGTTCAGTATGAAAGGGCTCGGTCTTTCCTTTCCCCCACACACACACAGTGAAATGTGTTTATTATTGGATTATTTTGACTTTTGAATCCAAATTAGAGCTACATTTTTTTTTTGCACGTATTTTCTTAGACAACGTTGAGCCGCTGTAGCTTCAGACGAATGAAATGTGATGCCTTATCAATCGTCCCAGGGGAAAGAGTCAATTGTAAAGCCAAGTGTAATTTTGCTGAGCCCCTGTGTGTCACGCTCGTTTCATGCTTCA